ACAATCAAAGAGTTGGCCACCCAGCTAGGATAGTGAGAATTAGGTAAGTGAGCATTGCTCGTGCTGTGTGAAGTTAGCTTAGGGTTAGTAGAGATTTCCCTGCTGTTTGCAACCTCTAGCAGGTCTGCGTTGATTCCTGGTCTTCTCATTTTTTCGTAATGTAGTAGAAGTTCTAGAGAAGGTTAATTTCCTTCACCCTGAGAAGAAGGGGGGAAAAAAACAGGAAAATAAGTTAAGGCATCTTCCCCAGAACTCACCCACCCCACTCAGGTGTGGATATCAAAACATAGCTGGGCAGTAGAGCCTCGAGTATAAACTCCAATGAGTTGGATTTGGTTATTATTAGGTTTATGAGCTGGATTGATTTGTTTACTACAATTGTTTTTTTTCTTTACTGTGGATATATTCTGTAATCCTGTTGCAAGCTACAAGGAACCTTAATTATTTGGTGCAGTATAAAAATATAATTAAGACTGCTACTACTGCTAGGGCAATGATAGCAACAAGAACAAGAACAATAGGCAAATACAGATGCCTAGTGTATTTCCATATTTCTTTAAAGTCTATATTAAGAAGACTTAGAGTTGGTTATAGATATGTTATTTTAATAGTTGATTAATGTTAATTAGAGTATGATTATGTTATTGTTAACCCTGTGATTGGCACTGGGAAGTGAGGGGGGAGGGAGTGGGGGTGGAAGGGTGGAAAGGGGAAGGGGAGGATTTATATTGTAAAACTTTATAAAATTTTTAATAAAAAAAAAAAGAAGACGACTTAGAGTTAACTACCTTGAATGCCGCCATTTAAACAGCAATAATATAGCATTGTCAGAAGCATGACATTATTAAAATGACTGCATAAATTGTGATTTGTATACACACGTAAATAAATAGATCCATCCTTTAATGAGGCTTTCTGTCCGAAAAAAAAGCCATTCTGAGCTATTAACATGCTTAGTCCAGAAGAGTTCTGCTAAATAAATCTCAAGAAATGACTTGCTTTTATTATTAACATTAAGCCAAATCGATATCATTAATTAATGATTCAATCAACAATGTACGATCACCGAATTAGTGTGGGTGTTATTGGACTCCCTCTGGAGGGTCACAGATAGTCAATGGTTGAAGTTGAAGAATTTTTAATCTACTTTCAACTCTTAATTGTCACCCCCAGCTAAACAGAATATCAAAATAGTCTAGAAATTGGGGTGGGGGTGGGTGAGAGAGAGAGGTGGGAAAATAAAAAAAACCCAGAAGGAGTATTGTGAAATCAGCAGAGCAAAGTTCTGTAATCACTTTATGGAGAACAGAAAGGGTAACCAACTCAACAGGGAAGTGAAGAACAGTAGAGTTTTTTGATCACATATTTGTGATCTTGAATTTTTAGATACTTCCTGACACCCCTTCACCACCCACCCAATCAAAGATTCTGGGGATAGCCTAGCTGAGATTTACCTCTGTGGCTTCTACCGAGATGTCTTTTTCTCCAGCTCCAGCAGGCTGGTTTTCATGCTGATCTGGATGTAGGTCATCCTACAGAATACACAAGAACAGATCAAGTATCATCAGATGCCACAAAGACCAGAAGGCTGGAGCAAATTCTTTCAAATCAGGTTTTCTCATTCTGGCTAGCTTCCAGATGGGTATGGACTGCAGTTCCCAGATTGCTCAGCAAGGGTTGAGAGCATACCTCTGGAACAAAATGCTGGACTGAGATGACCCATGAATGTTCTTCTGTACAAAAGGGCCAGGCACATAGACTTTAAAGACTAAAAAGCTTACTCAAGTTGAATACTATTTACTATATCACACAGTGTACTGTTTTGTTTTTTTCTGTTGCAGACAGACAATCAATGCAAATATACAGTCATCTCCCATCCTGTCCCTGCTGAACTTCAAACTCAGTTTTGGCTGTCTCTTTGGATACAACTGGACTCTTGATTCCTTCTGGGTTTGTTTTTTATTTTCTTTTTCACTTCCCCATCCATCTGAAGACTCCTGGTGGTCTCCCATATGACTGCTATGATTTGTTGTTGTTGTTAGTTGCGAAGTCGTGTCTGACCCATTGCGACCCCATGGACAACGTTCCTCCAGGCCTTCCTGTCCTCTACCATCTTCTGGAGTCCATTGAAGCTCATGCCTACTGCTTCAGTGACTCCATCCAGCCACCTCATTCTCTGTCGTCCCCTTCTTCTCTTGCCCTCCATCTTTCCCAGCATTAGGCTCTTCTCCAGTGAGTCCTTCCTTCTCATTAGGTGGCCAAAGTACTTGAGTTTCAACTTCAGGATCTGGCCTTCTAAAGAGCAGTCGGGGTTGATCTCCTATAGGACCGACCGGTTTAATAATAATAATAAAATTGGAAGGGACCTTGGAGGCCATCGAGTCCAACCCCCTGCTCAGGCAGGAACCCTACACCATTTCAGACAAATGGCTGTCCAGTCTCTTCTTAAAAACTTCCAGTGTTGGAGCATTCACCGCTTCTTGTGGCAGATTGTTCCATTGGTTAATTGTTCTAACTGTCAGGAAGTTTCTCCTGACAGTTTGATCGCCTTGCAGTCCAGGGGACTCGCAGGAGTCTTCTCCAGCACCATCGTTCAAAGGCCTCAATTCTTTGGCCCTCAGCCTTTCTTATGGCCCAACTTTCACATCCATACATTGCAACTGGGAAAACCATGGCCTTGACTATACATACTTTCGTTGGCAGGGTGATGTCTCTGCTGACTGCTATGATACATGGAGTTAATTGTTTAAATTTAGGAACCAGGAAAGGAATTGATTGAGCTCTTTCCCTTATATCTACCTGCCCTGTCTCCTCAACAACTTATCCACGAATGAGGCAAGCATCCATTTTGGATACAAACAATTGTCTGTCTGTTTCCTTGGCCTGGAGGAAGACTTCAAGCTCATCTCTAATTACGAATGGTGGCTTAAGAATCACATCCTCTGTTTGTTTCTCTTGGGCTCTGCATCCCTCATCATGACTTCATGTCTCTGACTCATATTCTATTTTTAACCTGGCAGGAAAGGAGCATCTTGAGATTTATTTCCCCCCTTTTCTTTCTGAACTGGAGCACAATTACAGGAAGAAGATGTGTTGCACCGTGTGTTCCTTCTTTCCCCAAGCCAATATAAATTTGACAACTTTGACATATTGAGAGACACGAAACATGGACACAGCCACCCTCAAAATCAAGAGCTCACGACCCAAAGTCCAGCCAGGCTAATATGTTAGAAGAGAACCATCTCATTTTTCAGAATCTACCCTACCCAACCAAAATATAATTTCTAGGCATGGCATCCTACTTCCAAACAAAGCTATCACTAGTTATGAATTTGAAGAATTTAAACATTCTTTAAAGAATTCCTGTGGGATCAGAGGTCATTCAACTGGATGGTTTCTCGCGGCAAATATCACCACACCCACAGTGGACTTACCTCACAGGCAAAGTGTTAGGAACACGGTAAAGTCTCATTCGTGGGGCAAAACTGGCAGATCACACCTACCCTTTTGACCAGTCCACTGCTGGTTACAACGGTCTCCGCTCCTTCCACTGTCTGCTTTGCCACTGTGTTCACGCTGCTCACCATAGTATCTCCCACGAGATTGGCCTGTTCTTTGGTCTTCTCAGCAACTGTAGTTGAAGCAGAAAGAAGCTGAGAAGATGAATCAAGATAAGGTGAAAGTCCCACTTCTTTAGATGTGGTTGGAAGCTACTAAGATTATCTGTGATCTTTCAGTAGAGGTCAGTTCTGAAAGGATCAAAGGATTGGAATTTTGCAACCTAGGTCTCGGGAGTCTTACAACCAGCATCTGTTTTGGTGACCTCCACAAGCCCAAAAATGTGTGGAGGCAGATTGTTCAGCCATCATTGTGTACTTTCTGGACTCTTGAAGGAGATTTAAGACCACCCCCAAGAATGTCTCAAGTCTACACCAGCTTTCAGAATATAGCATGACAAAGCCCTGAAGTTGAAGGATGAAGGAAATTGCATAAGTGGATTGAGGAACACCATCTGGTCCTCCCCTCAGAAGACATTCTTGAGTTGACCTACTAGAAAGACTCTAATGGATCATTTCCTCTCTCTGACTTGGGGTAACTTTTTTAAGAGCTGCTGAGATGCCTTCCCTCTTCTGATGTTGAAAGAGAAGGATCAAGACTTCCTTGTCCTCTCCATGAGCCCATCAATCATTTTTTCGCATGGACAACATGCTGGTAATTATTCTTCAAAAATGTGGCAAACCATTTTGCAGTTTTGCACAAGTGAAAGTGTAGTTTTTGTCCACCCAGCGCAAACATGTGTCGTGGATAACTGAAATGGTTTTTTACCCAGAAAATGGCAGGTTGATACATGCTCATATTAAAGATTCAGTCATAACATAATTGGCTTACTTCTAGTTTCTCTTGATGTGGACATCACTGGGGCTATAACCTTGTTTTCTCTCTAAACTAAGAATAAATCACATTATACCATAATTTTGGTTTGCTTTTGCTTTTATTGATTGAGTGCCGCAAAGTAAGAGAAAAATAAAAAATAAAACTTGCACAAGAACGAAAGGACAAAAGAAAGAAGAAGAAGAAGAAGAAGAAGAAGAAGAAGAAGAAGAAGAAGAAGAAGTAGTAGTAGTAGTAGTAGTAGTTGTTGTATTGTTTAACTGCTGCCCGTTTGTTGATAGCTCAAAATTGGAAGAGTAAAGTTTTACCTACAATGGAGGACTGGAGATTGAAGGTTTCGCATCTTGCTGAAATGGCAAAAATTTCGGCTTATTTGAAGGATCACTCAAATGAACAATTTTTATCAATATGGAGAAGATGGATTGTTTATATTCAAAATAAGCA